TTTCGGTTATTCTCGTACTGTAGTAAAAATATGAACGCAATGGCTGCCAGCAAAAACTAATCCAAAAATACCGAAAAAATCACCATAAACGAGTAGGCTGCCAGCAAGACAATGGAGAAGCAGCACAACAAGATATCTCCTCAAGAATATTGGACAACTGGAATCAGCTTAGATCTAAACATTCTATCTTTGGATAAAGCTTGCTCCTTTATCATATTATAGAACCTTTTACCCATTCTCTTCTTTTTGTACAGTCTGTTTCGTAATAAATTTCATAGGTGTGCTTCTCAATAACATGCATGAGTTATAGTTGGATATTCTTTCTATGATCCCATTTAAGAATAGGTTCCCGCAAGTACTACGATTTGCATCTGTGTAAGTTTATACTTTTGTTGGAATTAAATCCACATAAAATACAACAGGGACTAACCTTTTTCATGGCTTTGACTGGTGAGGATAGCTGCATTCACCTCGCTGGCTGTCTTAAGGCGTTGAGAGATATCAAGGAGATCGCCAACAGGGCAATTGGCCACATCTTCAAAAGCGAGCAGTGCAACAGTTCTCTCCAACTCTTCTAGAAAGCTTTGCTGAATTTATCGAGAGCTAAAATGAGTGCTTATATATGCTGTGGGATGATAAAAAAACTTATAATAACAATAATAATAAAAAAAGAAAAAAATAAAAAAATAACACCCCTGATATCTGGCTTGATTACAGAAACCCGGAAATCTTTTGAGATTACGAGTGCCCCCTTAACAAGAAAAAAGGATAATTGGAGTTCTTTGTCATTTTTGAAAAGATAATTCGAGTTTATCCGTAATGAGCTAAACCTCATGGGTAGTAATTGTATATGTATTGATCTGTATAAAATGTGATGATGTAAAATCCAAAAAGGAAGTTTCTCGTGATGCAGCAAAAGGATTAGGAAGTAATGATTGTGAGCATGCATAACAGGCGATGGAGAAAATTAGGATGTGTTTGTATATAAAAAAACTCAATCCATATTCAATTCATACTCAAAATCTAACTTAACTGCACTATCCTCAATATAATAAAATAATATCAATTAATCATTGTTACACATCATATTAACTTTAATTTACTATTATCTACTCACATAATTTTAATTAACTATCACTTCACGTCATTTTTCTCCTACTTTTACATATTAAATCAATTGTAATTATTTTATTTTAAATATTATTTTAATACAAAATCAAAATCTCACTAACAACTAACCGTTCAACTTTTTCAATATTAACCTGGTTAATCATAAAAACTCATTTTGAGCAAATTTATTTGTAAATAACTCAAGTGAATAACCCTGGTTATCATTTTAAGGTTCACCTAACATTGACAAGTGAATATGAAGAATTCTTACGTTTTCCTCTCCCCGTGGAGCAAGTTCCTCTTGAGCAAACTCAAGAGCTTCTTCTACCTTCCCATTTCGGATCAATTCTATCAAACGCTGCTGTTGGAGATGGAAATAGAGTTGAGGGTTTGTGTCCAGTATCTGCACCCAACAAACACTCAGAATTTACTTTTACGACATAAGAATAAGACAACAAAGTGCTAAATCAACTGATAACTAAAGACAATATTTAGATTAGTTCTAGTCTTCCAGATCATATGTAACTCATTTGTCCTTATAAAAATTAAAAAAGAAAAAAAAAAAGAAAAGAAAAGACTACCTCCGGGTTCAAATCATTAACTTTCTCGATAGCATCCTCCACGTTGCCACTCTGTACTGCCTTCTTAACTGCCATACGGTCGGTGATTGTAGCAAGATCTATATCTGNAAACAGGGCAATGGAAAAACCCAAAATAGGATACGCTCTGTCCCGGATTCGAGTCGAAATTTTTCAGCAGCCTCCACATAACCCTCTGTAACTAGAAAGTTCATAACCAATTTGTTCATATCTTCCTTTCTAACTTTAACATCATTGAGCTTCTTCTCCCACTCGGCCCTGGTTATAACTTTCTTCGACGTGGCCTGTAACAGTAAACCATGAATAAGACTGTCAATTAATTGTACAACTAAACCACACAACAAACCCATGAAATCGGAACCCAAATAAATCATCGGAAATTAGCATAAAGGTACAAGCTCGTGATGCTCACACATCAAATTAAACAAAATTGTAGTGTGAGTGAAAATGATCATCACCAACCTCAAATTTCAACATAAATCTTTTTTCGCGGCTGGTGACATCAAGACAATCAAATTGACCCATAAGGAGAAACCTCATATGACGAACTAAAATACAAAATTCTCAGCCCACAAAAGCATCGATCGTGGGTACACAAGCTTATCAATTTTCACGAACACATCAATTCATTTACACTCAAATAGATAAATTGCAGTGCGAATATGACCATCACCAACCTCAATTTTCTACATAAACCTTGTTTCCCGACTAGTGACATCAAGAAAATCAAATTGACCACAACTACAAGGAGAAAACTCATGGGACAAACTAAAATAATACAAAAAATCTCAGCCCACAAAAGCATCGATCGTGGGCTACACAAGCTTATCATTTTTTACAAACCCATCAACTGAATTACACTCAAATAGACTAATTGAAGTGCGAATATGGTCATCATCAACCTCAAACTTCTACAGAAATCTTTTCCCGACTAGTGATATCAACATAATCAAATTGACCCTGAAAATAAACCCCATGGGACGAACTAAAATTCGATAAAAAAATCTCAGCCCAGACATGCATCGATCGTGGGCTACACAAGCTCACAATTTTCACAAAGCAATCAGTTGATTTACACTCAAATAGATATTAAAAAACAAAAACAAAAACAACGAGTAGCTACATGAATGTGCCAATGCCATGAATTAAACCCTAAACACTACACAGGAAATTGAACAAGCTCATCAATTTTCACGAACCCATCAATTGATTTACACTGAAATAGATAAAAAGCGAATGTCTACCATGAATGTGCCATGAATTAAACCCTAAACAATACACTCACAATATTGTCACAAGCTCATCAATTTTCACGAACCAATCAATTGATTTGCACTCGAATAGATAAAAAACGAGTAGCTATCATGAACGTGCCATGAATTAAACCCTAAATACTATACTCAGAAAATTGTGCCGGCTGAGCGAGGGGTACTTACCATGGCTTGGGCTTCAGCTGGTCGGCGATTTACAGTGCAGAAAATCAGTATCCACCGCAGGACGCCTCAAGCACAAATAAAAAAGCAGACGAATTTCAACTCCGATTAGGTAAGAGATAGTTACCGCCCTGTTAATCTGTTTGATTCACTGCGAGATAATAAAAAATGGGGGAAAAGATGAAAGCATTGGACAGTTCTGATGCAGTAGTGAATACTGAATAGTGATTCTTGTTTATCTTGGACTCTTGAGATTAAAAGCTTTTCTTTTTTAATAAGGGTTAATTGCAAATAAAACCCCAATCTTTTGTTAAATTGCAGATAAAACTTCACTTTATAAGTTTGGCAAAAAAAATAATAACCTTTCATAAGGGGAGTGTATTCAATTCGGAATTTAAGTGACATTTTAAGACTTTTCGAGATTTGAGACTTTCTAAGATTTTCAGATTTTGGAAGAATTCTATGAAATCTCAAGTCCGGAGGTAGGATTTTAAGTGGGATTTCATATAAGGTTTTTTGTTTAGAAATCCCACAAAATCTTAAAAAGTCTTAATAAATTCTAGTGCCAAAAAAATTAAATACCTCAGGATTTTGTAAGACTTTTGAAAATCCCAATTGAATACCCCAGGATTTTTAAAAGTTTTAAAAAGTCTTAACAAATCTAAATTGAATACATCAGGATTTCTAAAGTCTTAAAAAGTCCTTAAAAATCCTAATTAAATAGTGTTGCAATTGTGTATCAACCACCACCCGCCGCCGTCAACCGCCACCCACCGCCGGCCAACTTTGCCGGATGTTGAAAATTTTTACATGATCTTGTAGTTCTCCTTCGTGCCAACAACATATCCGAATTTCACGAAAAAATTCTGACGATAAAGCTTCCAATTTTCCGATCAAAGCTCGTAGATCTACAAATTTTATCCGGCTCTTTCGCAAATTCTCGATGACTTGCTTTGACCCACGTGAATCCGAAGATACCGTTGAACTCCTCTCGCAAAGCTGCATCTATTGACGTCCACCTTCACCGAAGTCGGTGACTTTTTCCGGTGACGACTTTTCCGGTCATCTTCTTATCGTCGGAATTTTTTCGTGAAACTTGGATATGTTGTCGGCACGGAGGAGAGCTACAAAATCATATAAAAATTTTCAACATCCGGCGAAGTTGGCCGGCGGCGGGTGGCGGTTGGCGGCGGCGGGTGGTGATTGAGACATAATTGCAACACTTATAAAAGGTTAGTATTTTTTTTGCCAAATTTATAAAGTTGAGTTTTATTTGCAATTTAACAAAAGGTTAGGGTTTTATCTGCAATTAGCCCTTTTAATAATAATAATAATAACACTTTTAATAATAATTTTTGAAAATGACATAAGTCATAGACTTATTCATTTTATATTATACTACCTCCTATTTTTTTTAAATGTCATCTTAGTTTTATCAACAATTAACCAAACAAATGACATTTTGGATCTTTTGTACATATTTTTCCATTATTACCCTCATCTAGCTAGTAAATACACTAACTCTTTTCATATTCACTTTTCATATTTTCTCAAAACATCCATCTCTATGCTCATTATTAATAAGGGTTATTATTGACAAAATAAATTTTTAATTACCGTGTAATTTCTCAAAGCGACACTAAAATAGGAGGGAGTAATATTTTTCTGATCCATATCATATAATACTCCTTAGAAATTCATATTAATTTAAATTATATTTGTGCTTCAATTAATAATAAGTATTATTTTCAAATTTTGATATTTATAAATAATTGCACTATTATTTTATTTTTAAATATTTTTTTTAATTATACATGTTGCCTGTAAAACTCGTTCGTCCTTATTATATAAATTCATAACTTATTACTACGTCAGAAATTATAATTTGATGATTCCCTCCAAATGTTATTTATGCTTTACATTGACTACAATTAGGTCTAGTATGCATGTTTTCAAATTATATCATATAATAAAAAACAATACAAGCGAAAAAATAAAAAAATTATAACATAAGTATATGCATGTATATACATATGTATATACATATATACAAGTCCCATGAAAATTCCTTACATATTTATGATTTTATACTCGAAAAAAATTGGGATTCTTTTGATTCTTGGTAATAAAGGTTGGGTACCTGCCAACCTTATTGATTCCGGTCAACATTGCAATTTGCAAAGTTAGTCCTCTCATCAATAAATGGTTGCTAAAAGGTCCTAAAAAATAGGTTATTCGTATATTGGCAACGCTAACTCTATAAGAAAAAAATTATATACTAACTTCATACATTTGACATTGGACATTCCCAAAGGCTCAAGAAAAAAATAATATAATAATCGAATATAATTAAATGCTTGAGATCTAGTTAACTAATCAAACTTTTAGGAAACAACTGTAACAACAAATTTCGTGTATTGAATTTATAAATACGAAAAAATATTATTCAAATGAATTTCTCGAATCAAAATAATATAGCGGGTTGCAATCTCTATTTTCTCATCTGATTCTTCTCACGAACAATTTTAAGTCTTAGAACGAAATTTTCGGCTTGATATTCTCCTTGACTTGAATTAACGTTAATCCGAGGGCTAACGCCTTGATTTCGGATCAAACGTCGAAATATCCCAAGAACGCGAAACTTCGAATCTTCAAGAACCTTCAAGAACGCCTTTGAATCTCGTCGAGAGAATTCTCTAGAGCTCTTGAACTTTGAATATGAATTTTGATTTTGTCTTTTTGACTTTAGGGAGAGCCCCTATTTATTGTGTAGGAGGGAGAACTCTACCAAATTTAAGAATCGTAGGACGCGATTTGATTGGTCCATGATGACTCACATAAGATCTTTTAGATCTACCTAGATCTCTCAAGATCTTCTAGAAGACATGTGATTTATTACCAAGAATTAAGATTTGACACTTGACAATATTTGATTGGTCAAGAATTAAAATATTAAAATATCAATTAATTAATTATTTAAATTTAGGAATTAAATATGTGGAAATTCCTAAAATATAATAGAAAATATGACTTGATTTTTAATAAATTAATTTTCACGTGGCGCCATTTGATTAGCCACAAATTTTATGCATCTACAACAACATGGTTATATTTGATTATTTTGTATATTTTTTCAATATTGGTCGCTTAACATTATCATACATGTTTCATATTCGAATAATTTTTTTGTCGACTCAATAAAAATATATAAATGTTCAGTAATTTCTTTAATTAAAAAATTAAATTTTATCAAGTTCAGATTCTAATTTAACTCGTGTTAAGAGTTTTTAGGTTAAATGCATTTACACTCGAATGGTCAGTTGAACAACCGAGCTTATACCATACAAAATTAAGTATTTTGCTTATGTTCGAGCTCAAGATGCTTGAGTTCGACTGTCGAGATAAGTTTGACTTTGCGAGTCGCTCGATTCATTAACGCCTCTAACTCTAATTTAACTCGTGTTACTAATTTTTAGGTTTTTACACTAGAATAGTTGGTTGATCAATCGAGTTTATACCATACAAAATTAAGTATTGCTTATGTTCGAGCTCAACATGCTCACGCTCGACTCTCGAGCCAAACTTTGACTTTGCGAGCCGCACCATTCATTAACCACCTTAACTCCAATAATATTGCATCCATGCGACCCATACCTTTTTGTAAGTAATTTTTCGTCATAGGACCAAATTGCAAATTTTAAATTATCATATTTGCGATATTTATTTTTATTTTCATATACTTATTTATCATATTTGCGATTTTTAATTCCATATATTTATTTTCTTGTTTTATTTTATTTTTTAATAATTTTTTACTTCAGCTACCATGTTCCATCTGTCCATGTGATAAAGTAAACGGGGGAAAGGCTCTCTTTAATACTTTGCTTTCTTCATACTCGGGGGAATCTTGCATTCACCATAACAGTTTACGAAAAAAAAAAATGATAAATAAATAAATAAATACGTTATTACTTACCTTTTCTTCCGTTGCTGGTGATCCTTTTTAACATTTAATTCACAGGCAACAGTTTCTTCTACTGCTACTCTGTGCTTGTGCTGCAGATTTTTCAACTGGGTTTTGAGGAGGAATATCTAATCGGGCCGGGTCGGATCTCGAATTCGAACTAAGAGCTGCAAAGTTTTTGGTAATGGCGTCCAAATTGCTGCTGGTGACTGTTTTTGTCTTAGATTTGGTTGCCTTTTCACTTGCTGTGGCTGCTGAGCAGCGGAGATCCTCT